TCTGCAATCATCATCTATATGAAAGAGTGTTTTTGTTTCAGTAAAACATATCCACACCAATTTCTTAATGGTTTTGCATTTAAATCTGATGAAATTGTCAGATACCCTACTGAAAATTCTGATAATTAATATTCTGTGATCAGTTTCACCAAAAATGCTCAAGTTGTTGTTATACGGCACACTAACTCGTATTTTTTACTATTTTAGGTTTAACTAGCACCAAATAAAAATAGTTTAGGCTTTTTTTACTGCATTACTAAAATTGAAGGTAATGGGCCCGTTCACTTTCATTTTTGAATGTGAATTAATTATATATTTATAAAGATATTAAACTCTTTTGTCTGGTGGTACTTTTCCCGTTAAGATATGTTTGCTAGAAATAAGGGAATTCCCATAAAATTCTTTCAGTGACTCATTGCGTCAGAAGACCCCTAATTCCCTTCAAGTCTCGTATCGGTTAATAGTTAAAAGGGCGCGGTTGTCGGATGTATCATTGCACCACCATTCCTCTTCTGCATTTATTAAAGAAATTTACATTATAAAAATATATTATTTTTTTAAAATAATGTGTTTATATTTTCAGATAAAGCTGGAAGCCTTACCTTTTTTAAATTTTAATAAAAACAATTAGTATTACTCAAGCTGAATATTACCAGATCGAAATTTTATTTGAGAAAATGTATCTGGTAAACGTGACAACGTTGAAAGTACTTCTAAATAGTGTTGTCTACACACACTTCTAGAAATAAATGCAACGTTGCCACGTTTACCAGATAAATATTGCAATTCAAATTTCTACTTTTTGATTATGGTCTGGTTAATTTTCAGCCTGAGTAATAATAATTGTTTTAATTAAAAAAAAAAATAAGCTCCCAGCTTTAAATCTGAAAATATAACATCGCGATTTTTAGAAAAATAATGGAATTTTACTATTTAAATTACATATATAAATGCAGAAATGGTATATTAGGGATACTTCCGACAACCCCGCCGTCTTTAAGCATAACCATAGCCACCTAAGGAGGCTATGGCATAACCGATACGAGACGTGAACGGAATTAGGGATTTTCTGACGCAATGAGTCACTGAAAGAATTTTATGGGAATTCCCTTACTTCTAGCAAACATATCTTAACGGGAAAAGTACCACCAGACAAAAGAGTTTAATATCTTTATAAATATATAATTAATTCACATTCAAAAATGAAAGTGAACGGGCCCATTGAACTATAAAAAACATACTTTCAAGACATGAAAAAATGATCAGTTGATGAGATAGACGCAACAACATAAAATTCAAACAAATATTAGAAAAAACCTATGAATATTTAAAGATATGCGTTTGTAGTATTCAGTACATGTTCTAGCATCAATATGGAAGAGATATTTTGCATTTTCCTGATGTCTAGCGTATCTAAATACCAAAATGGACTCAAAGTTGTCTTTATTATCTCGTGATTAAAACCAATCCATAGTTGAAGCCTAACGTTACTTTGAGAAGATTCTCAATCCAGGTTCGTTCATGTTTGAATTAATCTCTAAGACCTTATCATGGATATAAGAAAGTGACAAACACGTTCCACGACTGTACTCCTGTAGGAAATGAAAATTAAGACGTGGAAATAGTTGAGCTTGTTACTCTAGAGCAATCCATCTTTCTTTCCTTATACCCAATCTTGTACAACATCTGCTTTATAAGACTTTTGAAGCATTATCTGTGTAGGTTAAACCTTTAAATTTCCTATGGTTTTTGTGGATGTTTTATGAAGGAAATATGCTAAATTATATACATGCAAAGTTGCTATGACATAAGAAAAAAGTTGAAAATACTTTTTGAATGTCCATTACTTGTAGAAGCGATAATGTTTAGTCATGTTGTCTTCTTCGGCTGCACTGTAGAACATGTGGTATTTTTACGACATACCCATATTTTTCAAATGATAAAGAGTATCTCTATAGCCTTTATACCACTGAGGTCATTAACCAGTTTTAGAATTAATTCGTTTGAAAAATATGGTACTTGAAAAGCAAGTATATAACCATCAAAACCAGTGATTATAGAAGGTTTCAGCAATTTCTTCAGAAAAATTTTGACAATAATGAATGGGCCATTGAATTGAATTTTAGAAACAGCGAAGTTATCTTTATGATCATATAAATGATAGACTGTTGATATCAGTTTGTAGTTCCTTGTAAAAATTACTGAAGCTGAACATCCTTCATAAGACAAGCCTGTAGATATTTTTTACATTTGAGAAATACCCGATGAATATTTTGTCTAGCTACAATAATTATTAAATCTCTCACTAACAATTATTAACTGGAAAAATGTAGTTATACCTTAAGAGAATTCTACATTTTAACAGTATATGTTTTTAATCAACGAAAGCAACCAGAACCCGAAAGAACCTATCAAAATTTACGGGACCCATAAAAAGTAACCCCTTAAAGCGTGTGACGTTTTAATGGGTCGTGGTGTTAACATCCAATTTGAACGTTTTGCAATAGAATCATCGGGGCCAACACTATAATAAATCGAGCGTTGGCAGTCCAGTCTCGGAGAGAGAGGTACCACTCCCAGCGGTACCACGTTATGGTACCGGGTTATGGTTCGTTTTACGCGACCTGCGACCTCCGAAGCCACCCATGGGTGGTCCCCGCGTATGCTCGTATCGCTTGTAACGAAATTTTAATGGTCTATGGAACAAATGAAAGCATTGTCCAATTTATAATCGGCGCTTATGAATTTTATTGGAAAAAATCGGAATTGTCGAGATAAACGGTCAAAGAATTATTTATGATTTTATTGCGCTTCTATTAATTATTATACTCTCATAAATTATTTCAAAATATATTAATTCTAATTGTTAATATACAGTGAGGTCATAAAATAATGAATTAATTGATTTTCTACATATTTAATAATTTTCTAGGGTAAGCAGCAGAATTAAAATGTGTCATTTCTTTAGAATTATCTTTCAATATTTTTGATAATTCCTAAGTAAATTTTTTGCACAATTATCAGGCATTTCCACAATTACTCTGAATTTTCCAAATATCTTTACTAATAAACTAAGTAAACTTTGGAATTAAAAGAATTAAAAAATTAAAGTCAAAATTAACATTTCTCAACTTATAATTGACAACCAGTTTAAGTAGCTTGTTTGTACAACTTTGTTCCACCTAATTTTGCCGGTGATGATAAGACTTTTATCATCAGGTATATTGAATAATTCTACATTAAAATTTTTCAATACACCTTTTTCCTCTCATAATATTACTTCTTACAAACAACTTCTTGTTGTTTTCTAATCTAGAGCAGTGTTACTAAGTGTGCTCTGCAGTACTATCGACACAAAAGAGAGGAACCTTGCTTTAGAACCTTTTTTTAGAAATGTGTTTAGGGCTCTGTCAAATATTTCGCTTTTTAAAAAGGTTGCGTCGCCAAAAAAGTTTGAGAAACACTGATTTACAGAATAATTTAATAATTTATCTGTGTCTAAGTTTACCTTCAGGGGACAATAAAGAATTTTACTAAAAAAGTTTGTGAGGTATTTCTATTCAAAATTAATTAATATGCCTTGTTATAAGAATATATTATTACAACAATTTGTGGCCATTTACTTTCTACTAACTTTCTACTATCTCCATACTAACTTTTTACTAACCTTCTACTAACTTTCTACCAACTTTCTACAAACTTTCTACCAACTTGCTACTTACTAACTTTCTATCTACTTAATACTAAATTTTTAACGCCTTCCTATTTCTTTTACTCTGTTTAGCTTCCGCTATAATTTTAGGAAAAGTTAAGAAATAATTATAAAAAGTTAAGAAAAAGTTAGTAGAACGTTAATAGAAAATTAGTAGAAAGTTAGTAGAAAGTTAAAAGAAAGTCAGTAGAAAGTTAGTAGAAAGTTAGTAGAAAGTTAGTAGAAAGTTAGTAGAAAGTTAGTAGAAAGTTAGTAGAAAGTTAGTAGAAAGTTAGTAGAAAGTTAGTAGAAAGTTAGTAGAAAGTTAGTAGAAAGTTAGTAGAAAGTTAGTAGAAAGTTAGTAGAAAGTTAGTAGAAAGTTAGTAGAAAGTTAGTAGAAAGTTAGCAGAAAGTTAGTAGAAAGTTAGTAGAAAGTTGGTAGAAAGAACTAATTGTACCACTTTATTTCAGATTCAGGCATTTTATTACTGTTTATTTTTTTGTTTTTATATTTCATTTTATCTAGGCTAACAAAATGTTAAATTTTAAATTAATACCTATTAGAGTCTCATGTTCGCATAATAAATGTACCTGACTTATTATCAACATAATATTTCGTTTATAATTGTTGACAATAATAGATATTAGATATTGTAGGTATTTCTATTCAAAATTAATTAATATGCCTTGTTATAAGAATATATTATTACAACAATTTGTGACCATTTACTTTATCAATGCCCTTATTTTAAATATACAAATATAACTGTTAGTAGAAATGATAATGCTAATCAATATTCCAAAAAATAACAAATATTACTTAAGAACAAGTCCATAACTAAAAGAATGCTTAACTTGACACGGTAGTGGCTTTAGAGGATTGGTAAAAAACAACTCTGGACTGCATTATTATACTAACCAAAGTTATCTGAATAACAATTTGGCAAAGTTAATATATTTTTTGTTAACAAATTTTGATAGAGCAATAAAAAAACGTATTAACAACATAATAATAATAAACCATTGAACTCTGTTTAAAATTCAAGCCATCCAAAAATTAATTGTTTCGCTTAATGTAGAGATGTTAATCTTACTCTGACGGTGTTTGTAATTAGTAGTTTTTTTGTTTGGATTTTAAGATTCATTATCATACAATGAGGACGAGTGTAATTAATTTGGCCCAGAGATATTAAGCTATGCATTGGAACTAAAATTACATAATTTATTATAATAATGGTTTAATATTATTTACAAAATAAAGAGTTGTAGATTGACATTATTGACAAAATATAATAGGAGAAATACTTACTAATGAATCTACTTCTGGATCTGCTATATAATAAGGTTTTTCTTGTCGTATCTGAAATAGAAAAGAAGTACTTAGTAAAATAGAGTTATTATTTTGTTTAAAATAACATTACATTTTTAATAAAAATATTTTTGTCTAAAATGTGACATACGAAATTAAAACCGATATTAAATTATTCAATTTGACGAATTTTAACCATCTGACAGTCAGAGGTAACTATGTAAAATCAAGATTGTTTACTGGGGATCAATCATCGGAGACAATTTTAGTTTTACAATTATCTATTATGCAAGTTTTTATGTAGATTATTGAGTTTTTTTAGGTTATTTTTAATAGCTTAACAACATTTCATAGAATACCTGTTTTTGTATTGTGTCATTTTGTGTCAAATTAACAGTTCAGCTGTGAATTTTATTGTGGTTTTGGGTGTCTTTGACAGTTATTCTAAAAATAACACATAGTGGATTTTATTTGTTGCACTAGGTGTAAGTGTTCTGTACTAATTGTATTTGATTTGGTGAGTGTAGCTTCAAGTATTTGAGTGTATCATATACTTTTGACAAATATGACAGTTCGAATACATTGCGAGTGTGACACTAGAGCAAGAAATAAAATCCAATCATAGATTCTTGTAAATTTTTTTTGCTTGAAAAAATTGTGTGTTCATTAATACAAACTGAAATTTTATGTCCAACAAAAATACCAATGATGTTATGAAATTGAAAGAAAGAGTGTCTCAATAATGTCTAAAACTAAGAATAAAGTATTTATGCTCTGTTATCCTTTTTATAATTAGATATAAATTACTGACCAATCACAAAAACTAGCAGCTTTATTGTTGATAGCGCCTGAGCTTTAATTTCAATGAACGAAGGTATCATTTTCTGACAGCTGATGCATTAAGAACAGTAATATTTATCTTTATCATGGTAGACGAATTTAATTTATAAATTTACTTAGATAGCAACGTCACACAAACACAGTGATCTAGTTAGTACAAAAATCCTAATCCTTTAATAACAATTTAATAGCCGCAATTGCCGAATAATCCTTCGAGGTGTCACGTTAATCTGGTATATCATAAAAAACGTCAGGCTACCGACATCCATATTATGTAAATCAAACATCATAAAGTGAATAGCTCTGTTTTATAGCCCCTTTTCAAAAAAAAACGCTGTTTATTTCACAACACGCCGCACACATATGATTGTATTAATACGTAAAATTATTGAAAAAAAAAAAACAGCGCCTTTTTTTATTGGCTATAAAATAATAAAAGAACGTATATCAATTGTGACAAATACTTTTGAAAAAAGATTTATCGATAATATTAGCTGAACACATAAATATCAGAAGCTCAGGGATGAAAGGCTGAATGATACCGTGGCAAATACATGTTTGTTCTACAGGGTGTTTAGACGTAGTAAAAATAATAAAACTATGTATCTATAATAAATGTTTAAAATGACGATCATCGTCAGGAATACATATCTTTGCTCTTTATCTTATTGTCTGAGAAGCTCTTCTAATTTCAAATTTATTTCGTCTAACGGGCTAAGGCCAGGACAGCGATGTTGCCAAGCTATCGAACCACCTCTACCCAATCAGTCCCTACCCATACAGCACACATTATTTCAGAAGTGTCTCAGAAATATTTCAAACGTTTCCAACATATAACATTTCAAGCATAAGTTTCGGAAATATTTTAGTTAAATGTTTCAGTTAAATATTTCACTGAAAATGTTTCTGAAACATGGTATACATGTTACACAAAAGGTTACTAAACGGGTTAAGTTGTAAAAGGCCAACAATTAATGAAAAATTTCTGATTTGTAAGTTGTAAGAAGAAAATGGGATATGTAGTTATTTTATTTCATCATGTCCATGTCCAGCTACCAGCTAGAAACAAGCTTATATTCTAAATAATTATAGATTTGAGTTGTTGGTTTTTGATATACATGCGTTGTGAACTTGTTATATGGGAAGCAGAAAATGTCTTTAGAAATTAAGATGAGAACCACATAAATAATGCTTGCTTAGGTGGATATTTTTAAATGTCTTTGTTTTGTCTAATATTATATTAGAAAAAAAAACTAGAATACATTTCTGAAATATTACTATTTAATATTTTTAAAAGATTTCAAATTTTCATTTCAGAAATATTACTGTGAAATATTATATTTACAGGACATTTTTACGTTTCAGGCATATTTCAGAAATGTTTTTAGGATGTTTCGTAATATTTATACAACACTGCAAATGTTTCAATGTAACATTGTTGAAATATTTCCGAAATGTGTTTGTTCTGTATGGCGAATAATAAAAATAAAACAAACCAATTTTATTTTATGATTCACGTCCAAATGTCATCTATAAAATCCTCTACTTTCAAATAAATACTTTAAATTTTCGTAGTTTTAACATTGGCCACCATAAAAGCTGGCCCTCGTAATTAAGTATAAATCGTTCATTCTCTGACCCACCAGTCGTACTTAAAAATATTCATTTTGTAGATACGACCTGTTATCTTAGTAGGACAAACTTTTATGTTCCGCTTAGGTTTTGAAGTTGTAAAATTATTTTTTTTTTAATTATGGGTGGGACACCTCAGAGGACAGAGGAATTTGGTATATTAACTAAAAACAATTTTGAAAAATGTTTTTTCGGTGGATAGTTACCAGTGAGAACCCTATTAAAAAGCAAGAATAGCCTGATCTTATTTCAAGATTATTAATTTCTTCACTAAAATTATCCTATAATTCAACCAAAATCAATATATTTGTGTCAAAGATCATATTATTATTGTAACAAATTTAGTTGTATTGGATTTAAGAACAAGGTATTATTGAATATAAATAAAGTATATTTAAAACAAGTGTAAGAGTATTTCATTTAAGATGTACATAATACTGCAATTGAGAAATAGATGCTCTTCATTTAATTAGAGGTATTTTGGTTAGGGCACGTTGATTCTAATCTTGAAGCAAGGCTTATTAGCTATTGTTGAACAAGTATTACTAGAATTTCAAATCAAGACGAGTTTTACTTGCGGATATACAAACACAACAAAGGATTGAAATAAGACCATTCATCTTGAATATAGTACACTTCTTTTTTCTGTGTATGCCTTAAAGTGGCTCCAGACCTATCTTGATCGTAAAGGATCCTTAAGGGTTCCTTCAACGATTATAAAATACATTTTGCTTCTAAGGAAGCTTTGAGAGACAAAGGTTGACTAAAAATCCACCCTTAATCTTGCACCCTTTGAAAATTATAGAGATGTAAAGCCTAATTTGTCACAACTGAAATTTGAATTAGGTTTTTAACTTTATTTATTCTACAACTCTGGAATATGGAAATGTTTTGATACTAATTAGGATCATCTTCAAAATAGTTTTAAGAACATTATCCCATTTTTGACTAATCTTCTATGAACACCTTGTATTCTATGAGTATCATCGTGTGCAGTTAGGTATAATTTAGTAATTTAATACAAGAAAAGAATCTATTATCCCGAAAACGAATCGTTAAAAAAACCCTTCTGTAATTGCTACCTATGCTCGAAACTTAAAAAGTTCCACTGCAATTTAGCCTTTAAACCAGCCTTCAATTAAGCCTTTCCGTGCCTGTTGTAAATGTGTGTGATTGTGCGTCGTTCTCTAATTCTAGCGACATCCGAAATTATATAGTTTTAACTTGTCCTCGAGTTGTCATTTCGAAAATCGACTTTACACCTCGGTTTGATAAAATGTCTATAATTAATATAAAAAGCTGGTGGGCACGTGGATTTTTGGGTATTTTGGGCGGTCGCAAACCACCGTGTAATTACCCGTTGGGTACCGAAAGGTCCACCTTATCGTCCGATCGGCTTGGCTTCCTCAGTTTTTCGTTATAAAACTTTTTTTGGGACCATGAAAATGATAGGGTACGCATATACGTTTTAATTTTTCCTTTTTTACTGATTTTATTAAAAACTTAAAAAACTACTGGTGGCTACCATCGTTTAATAATAAACGTCGGTGTAGATTCGTGATTATGATTATGATTATATCGTCGTTAGTACCTGTAAAAAATTGCTTGTAGGATGGGTAGTAGTAGCGCGGCAATATTAGAGACAGGTTCTTCACTTTATTAATCCGTAATTAATATTTAATATTTTATGATTTAACGTCAAATAATTATACAATATAATTTTTCTAGAATTGCTATATTATATAAAATGTCAATGAAAAGTATATATACGTAAACAGGGGCGCAAAAAGGGTTTTATAAAAATATAATTTTTGAAAAGAATAATAAAAACACAAAATTTATACCACATGAAAAAGGTGGTGCAAACGTTATTTAATGTAAAACGTCATAATAACGGATATATAAGCTTAGATCCTTTTGGCAGTGCTAATGCGCATGTTTTTTATTGTAAATGATGTATAAATGACGTTTAAGCTATATTTAGACTCTAAAGTATTTATTTGAATTTAATCATCACAAGACAATGTTTGAATAGGTAAAGTCTTGGAAATACCCCATGGATGAAACAAAAAGTTTCTAGATTTTGGTACGTCGTAGATTATGTTGTTGAATTTAATATGATGTCCAAAAGTAGATTTATCTGGATATCTGATGTGTTCACCAGCTCGTATGTTGAGTCTCCTCTCAGTTTTTCCTATATAAGATGTATTGCAATCGTTACAGCTTAGTCTATAAATACCACTTTTGTGTAGCAACTCGATTTCATCCTTAGTATGTGATAGTTGGCTTTTAATCGAATTAACATTTTTAAAGGCAATTTTAATATTGTTGCAATCCTTAAAAACTGCAGCGACATCATTGGAAATTTTCACGAGATAAGGTAGTAAAAAGTATTTAAAATTTGCAGGAGGATCGTTAGTAGGATTAAAAGCAAGTTGAGACCTTTTCTTTAGTTTGACCATATTGGTTTTCTCATTTTGCCAACCATCTTATAGACACAGGACATGACTTTGATTCTTCAACAGATTTCAAAATCATACACCTTTAATAGATCCACTCTTAATAGTTTTGAGAATCTA